GCTAATAATAATAATAATAATAATAATAATAATAAAGTAAGTGATAGGGAACGGATTTCTATGATTTTGCATATTTTGTCAGTTATTTCAGGCCACAACTAAGAGAAATTCCTTGACATTTGGTTAGAATTTGATTCTATTTATGTTAAAACGTTAGTGCGTATTCCTGAATATTCGGCCCATGTTTCCAATTGGTGCATAGTCGTGGATTTATAGAAAATGTATGCTATTTTTTGATATCATATTTTTTAAACCAGGCAGAAAAAGTGAATCAAGAAAAAATCAAAATGAATCTATGTACTACTTCATTAAGGAACATATTTATTTCAATTATTTCTCCCGCGACGTAAGCTAGATTATATTATGTTTGCACAAAAAATAGATCTTTTCATCCCACAAGCTTCTCTTGAATTTTATTCAGAAAGGTTTACGCAAGAAAAGAAATATTGTTAATTTTATTTGCATATTAAAGTGCATATTTCGGAATTTTTAGGTCATGTATGCATATTTTTAAAAGCATATTTCAAGATTTTTTGGGGCATAAAAATTATCTCCCTAGTAATTAGTTTCCTAATATTTGTTCTAGCTAACTAAAATCTTTGACTCGATTAAAGTTTTTTTGTCGCGAATTTGTGCCTCAGTTTCTTACTTCTCTAGAAATTTACCCATCGTGCGGAAATCATCTTCGCAATGTATCGTCACCGAGACAAAGGGTTACGCATGGGGATATCAGATTTTTAAGAAAAGACTAACTTAACTCATACGTAGCAGTATTTAGAAACCCACATTTTTAAACTATCGATGAAATATAAGATTTTACGATACTTCCATTGTGGACCGCGTTACAGGAATTAAACATGCGTAATGCTGTATTCTATTTGCTTCTGCTTATTCATTTGAAATAGCCGACTCGTGTGTTCTCTTCCTTCGGCTTCGCTGACTGAATGCTGTCGTGACGACCTCTGTGATCTTGGGAAAGCCTCGGAAAAGCCCCGCCCAGGGGCACAACTTCCTGCAAAGCCTCGCAAGGCAGGAATCGGAAGCGGTTGGTTCTCGTCAGAACTGAGTCGGTTATTTTTAAAACCCCGTAAGTCACTCTCTTTTACATTTTCGTATTTTATGAGAAAATAGAAATGCAGGATGTATGCATTACTCCATGTGTAAATCCCGTAAATGATATTAATAGAATGGCCGTGAGGACACTGCAAAGTTTTGGTGTGGTTTTGAAACTGTAATTCATTACCGGGGTATGTATGACTGTGCTTATAGTATGTATGTATGTATGTATGTATGTATGTATGTATGTATGTATGTATCCAGTGTATGTATGAATGGAATGTTACTGACAGAGAGATTGTTTAAAAACGATGTTCAAAGGCTGGGGCTGTGTTTGGGGCTGGGTTTGGGGCTGGGTTTGGGGCTGTGTTTGGGGCTGGGTTTGGGGCTGTGTTTGGGGCTGGGTTTGACCGAGTTTGGGTCTGGACGGGGCTGGGTTTGGGGCTGGGTTTGGGACTGGGTTTGGGACTGAATAGACACAATCGGAGAGGGCACGTAAGGCATGGGCAAGTTTTTGCACTTGTAATTTCTGTTTGAATAGCCCTGCCGTGCAAGATAAGCAGAGATCTGTCTCCGTGTCGGCGGTGAATTTGTGGTAGGGTCTGAAGGCTGTTAAGTTCCTAACTGAACGCGCACCTCGAAATAATTTCTACATTCGTGAATTCTTTATACAGTAAACCCTCGTTAACACGATTTCGAAGGAACTGAAATAATTGGTGTTCTTGTTATAAAGTATCGTGTTATCTGATTTTTATATATCCTCAATGCTATGTTTCTTTGGTGAGACCCAAATTTTGTTTGTTTGAAGACGAATTTTGCATTAAGCTAGTTAGTGCTGTTGAGGGTTTACTGCAGTAATTTCCGGTTTGTTTAGGGTTCTGAAATATTGAATATGAACTACATGTGATCTTAACTATTACTGCAAACAATTCAAGGAAAGTTTCGTCGGAAAACAGGAGGTGATTCCTGCAAATGATTAAAAAATTAAAGTGGGAATTTGAAAACTTTGATCTTCAGTTAAACTATTTATACGAATTGATGGATGAGTATTTTTTAAATAAAAAAGCTATCCAATTTTTTAATCAATTCACTTTTGTGTTTTTTCATTTTATCCTTTGAATACATTCTTTCTGATAATATTCGTACAATTTACTTGCATTGTAATAAATTTTAAGAAAATTAAGAACACAAACAAACTGCAAATTATACGAATTAAATTCAGTACACGAATTGTAATATTAAATTCAGAACATTTTTATAAAATAAAACTTCATTGTTTAGAAATACTTCTGACGAAGAATTGACTTATCTAGTAAGTTAAATTTCCTAATTATCTTTATTAAGAACGAATTTTATGCCAGATTATTTTTCTTTTGAAGGAATATTATTTAAACATAAAAGTATTGTATAAAAAACGCCCATTCTGTTGTATGAATCATGGCTGATGTGCAAAGTGAGTGTTGATTGTGATTTCCTAATGGATTTATAACCTTCAAAATCATTCAAATGAACATTTGCGTTTTGCAGTCTTCCTGTAAGAATGACGTCATCGGCCATTACGATTTTATATTTCTGTATATCATGTTGAATAAGAGAGGAAGGAGAATATCTTCGTTCATTGTCAGCGAGAAAACAATTATTACTTGCTTTTGACAATATTTTCATAGAAAAATTTAAGAGGTCAGCGTAATAGTGGTCTAAGCTACATTTTAAGGAAAAATTAAAAATCAAGTCTAAAATTCATAGTTATGATTAGCAAAAGTTGTGAAGAGAAACATATATATTTATTCTTAACTTCATAGAAGAAAACTGGTCCAACCAACAACGTAAAAAGATAGTTAACCTTTTTAGATAGCAAATGGTGTCAATAACTATTTTTTTCATTTTTTAGAGGCCTACACTATTGATCTCAGACCAATATTGCACAGTTCAGCAGGTGCCAATGGCAACTTTGGTATTTATTTGTTTCGTTTGGTATTCATAACTTTCTGTTTTGTCAACCAAAAACAACTTATTTCTTTGTTACGGATGGAGTGGAGTGACTCACTATTTTCCCTGGTTTACTATATTTGAAGTTACGTTCAGCTAATTCAACCGTCAAGTCAACCAATTAATCTGGCTGATGTCGCGACCTCTGGAATTTGAAGCCGATATTTTAATTTTGGGGGTTACTTTACCCCAAGCTCCTGAGACATTTTCCAAATTTTCAAAGAAATAGTTCGATTGTTTTTTATTAATGTTTTGTGTGCTAGTGTGAAGGGCGTTTAAGAGAATTGTGAAAAATCTCATGTTTGTTAAAAAAAACTCATTTTTCGAAAATTGTAAAGGTTCAAAATTGTTTTGTTGTACCCACATCTAAAATATAATAGATAGAGATTGTTTGTCTTAACGAAAATTGTTCCTTAAAGGCATATTTTGAAATAAAGTTACGTGCAATATCTCCAATATGTGAGTGATTTTCACGTAATTTTGCTGGCGAAAAAGTAAGTGCAGTTTTAGCACCTAGTTTTTTATTATAAGCATACCGCACACTTTTGAACAAATGTCTTCCTAAAAGCGGAATGGAGACTGAGGAACCGGATAAAATATCCGGCATTAGTTAATTCTCGGTTTTATTGTGAATTAAAATCCATATACTTGGGATATTGTTTTAGAATTAGTCTTCCTAATTCTCATAAAATATTTCGACAGTTTGAAATTTGAGTTAATTTTATCAGCTCAAAACATTTTCATAAAGCGTTTCAAGAAAAGGCTAAATGCAAATCTATGCCTTTTCAACTAAAGTTTGCAGAATACGGCATATTTTCTAAAGCAGGGTTGTCCAACTTTGTAAGTCCTCAAGGGCCACAACTAAAACCTTTAACAAGGTTGCGGGCAATGTTTTTATTTCTCGCACGATCCGCGCGTCACCGCGAATTCTTGAGCCCGGAAGTTTGCCTGACAGCTCTGAAACGGGGGGAGGGGGAAAAGAAAATGTGTGTTATGTGAGGCCGTATCATGCATAACGCAGGGAAACACATTGGGATAATTTTTTGATATCTGAATTTACTGGAAAAATTGAAATCTAAACTTAACGTATTTTTTAGAGGGTATTAATTTTAGTGAGGTGGATATTGATTGTATTTAGGAGGTATTTAAGGGGGTATTGACCAGTGAAAGGCGCGTGTACTAGTCCCCAGCCTACTTGGATTGTCAGGGACTTTGACATTTGGCTATTAACATTTCGCCGGCCACAGTAAATGGCACCGCGGGCCACTAGTTGGACAACCCTGTTCTAAAGCGTATTACGAACTATTGGTATTGTCTGAGCTTGTAAGCAGAAAACTGAAATGTCTTTGAAGATGAGAGATATCGGATGATTTACATAATTTCCCTCTGGAAAATTGTTCTCATAATACTTCAGAGAAATGCATATAATGATGATACCACTTGGCGACGTGCCAGTTGTGTCTTATGTATTCTGATGATTTGAACACCGTCATTTATTTCTAGAAGATGTAATAGTTGCTCAGAAACGAATTTGCAACAGAAAGTGATATTACGTTCATATTTCTTGTCGTGATTACAATCAATTGGTAACATTTTTTTGAATTTAATAAATATGGTCGGAAAACAGTATCTGATTAATTTTTAATTAATATTTCCTCATTAATAGTACCTGAAAAAATTTTCCCAGATTGCTAATTTTGGAATTAAATAATAACAATTTCTCCCGTTAAATTTAGTATATTAATTGATTAATATCAGTTTAATTTGGTAATGCCACAAATTAATGTTAACTTGTTGGCAAATATTCTTCAAAATATTCATGAACAGTTTCTCACATCATATTTGTAACTTTATCGTTTTACAGTCTGTAAATCGTATGCGGTGCCATACATATTGTATTCAGCGAGGTGCCACTTTCACCTACAAAGCAACGGTCCCCTCTAGAATCTCAAGAGATGAACCTTCCACACAGGTTTGTTTATCTCTATCGCAGTTCACGAACGATTTAATATACTGTACGTATTTTGTCTGGTTACCATTAATCCACACATACACAAGCGCACATGCAGCACAAACACACGCGCACACACACACACACGCACACACACACACGCACACACACGTACACACATAATGTCATACCCATATCACATAAGATGTTCGAATATCTTCTGAACCGTTGCAGAAACCATTGAAATGTAGTTTTCATCAAAACGAATGTAAGCGAGAAACTCATATGATGATTAAACTATAGGTTTTTAATTTTGCCCTAGCTTGAATTTTTTGAATGAAACGCTATAACTATGATAACGAGCGAAGAGTTTGTGCGCCTGCATATTAAACTGTCACATAACAATATTTTTGTTATGTGCACAATTTGTCCGACCACGGCATTAATATTTGGTCATTTTCACGAGGAAATTTCCTTCAATATCGTTCGGTAGCGTTGGACAAAGGTTGCAATGCCGAATTCGGCGCGAAGAGGTCTTGAAAACGCGCGAAAAACGCTCCTGGACTATTCCTTTGCAGTTTGCAGAAGCAGTCATCTCAACTGGAGTTCGTGGAAAGCAAATAATAACTATCTTCCATTGTTTTTTCTTACTAAGTTAACTACTACGCAGCGCAACTAATAACTTAGTTACAAATGTATTAGTTACCAATAACGCAGTTTTTCGTTGCATTTGAGCGAATAATATCTAATTCAACTAATTTTATCTCGAATCCTTTTGAAATATTTGTCTTTAATTGATGTTATTTTGTAATCCTCTCTGTAACTATTATATTTCATCACCGGGCAAACCAGGAATTGTACAGATGCATTCTGGGATATGAAACGATTCCTACTGACTGGCCATGAACTACAACATCTTGGTCGAACGAGAGTCAGTTTAACTTTGTAGACGAACAATTTTATTTGGCAGCACGAGGTTCAGGGAATTGATTGCGTAGGACCTATGCAGAATTGTTTATTTATTTCACTTTTATTAATGTAAATTAACTTCATTTACCATTGTAAGTTAGATTGAAACATTGTAATTTGTAAAATATTGTAATTCTTTAAATTCTGAGATTTTTTGCCTTGTGAATCCATTTTCTCTGTTATTAAGATTATTTTATAACCTTCATTGAGTTATTACTAAATCCATTCATTATTGTAATTGCTATTGATTTATTTAAGTACTACCGTGCACGCTACTGTACGCCCTGCCAGAGTAAATTCCATGTGTGACATATCTATGGCAAGGAAGGTGTATACTTGTTAGTCATGATCTCTGAATTTTCCACAGTTACTACGAGTGTGTTGTTTGTCAGAGATGGCAACAGCACCAACAGTCCAGGTATCGGTTTGTTCTTAACCTTTGCACTGTCGCTGTCACGTCACCAAGATAATTAGACGCTGCACGATTATGAATGTCAATTCTGTGAGTGTAAGATGAAAAGAATCAAGTCTTTTAAAGTAAAAACCCCTGAATGAAACCTAGCATTAACAATTGTATGTTTTAGAATTGCTGAATTTTCTTACTTTTAATTTTTTTATGTAAATTATTCATAAACTAAGCATTCCACTTTCTAGTATTGCCGCTTAAAAGATAATTTACATATGTTGTACATGTCACTTGAGTCTTACTTTTCCTCACTTCTTCTTTAACCCATAGCTCTATTTCGCAAACCGGCTGAGGTGGCTCAGGGTATCGCTGTTTGGGGGAGAATTCTAGCAGCCGCCTGCTCTGATCGGTAGTTTTTCGTGCTAAAAGCAGGGACTAAATTTACGGAACTAAAGATCAGAGTAGTTGAAGCACCCAGAAAACCGAAATAATCAGTCCCATTCACAACGAAATTACTGTTTGCTTTTTAAAAAAAGAGCTCATTTTTTGGAGAGCCAATCTGCAAAAGTGAGCACCTCTCTTTGGCAAGAGGTCAATCGCTGACCGGTGACCCCGCTGACGCCGTGCTACATCTACCGGAGAGTTTCGTTTTGATGAAGAAACCTCTCGACCTCAGGACTTGGAGAGAGCTCTCAGCGAGACGGAGCACAGAGAGAGACAGACAGAGACAGAGAGAGGCAGATAGAGACAGATAGAGATAGAGAGAGACAGAGAGAGACAGAGAGAGGCAGAGAAAGAGTCGGAGAGAGAGACAGAGAAAGAGACGGACAGAGAGACAGGGAGAGAGAGAGACAGGGAGAGAGAGACAGGGAGAGAGAGACAGGGAGAGAGAGAGAACAGAGGAGAACAACAAGAGATAGACGCAGGAGGAAACAGAAGAGAAGAGAGAGACAGAAGAGATAGAGAGGAGACATAGAGACATAGAGAGAGGAACAAGAGAAGACATAGAGAGAGAGACACCAGAGAGAGACCAGAGAGATACAGAGAAGGACACATAGAGAACACAGAGAGAGACACAGAGAGAGACACAGAGAGAGACACAGAGAGAGACACAGAGAGAGACACAGAGAGAGACACAGAGAGAGATAGAGAGAGAGATTAGAAAGGAACATTTGTTCTTTCTGCTCGCGATTATGCGGGACTTGCATATGCATACAATGCGCTATTTGTAATCATAGTGTAAGTCGCAGTTGGTGCATGCGTAAGGGTCCCAAATCTTGCAAAGAAAAACACCGGGACACTTACTTGATACTCGTAAATTATAGCTTGTACTCTATATATAGGGAATACAAGGCAATAACCCACACAACGAGAATAACAACGCAAGGACACAAAATAAAAAAAGTGAAACCCAAAGACAAAGCGCATGGACATACGTAGAGAAACATGTGTCAAGTCTGACAACAACCCCCTAAAAAATACAATATCATGGTTGTTCTTCACAATTTTAATAAGAACTGAAGGGTAGTGTCTAAATTCTGACTTCAGACTTCAGATTCGGATTTAGCAGGTCAACATACTTAGATAAACATGTGTCAAACCTTATGGTCTGACTACTTTTTTTTTAAATTTGGTGTGACTCTTTAATTAACAAAAGAAGTTACGGGACAAAAATGTCATTCTTCTAAAATGTGATTTATTAATAGATCTGATGTATGACTGATACGTGTGAAACAAAGTGCGAGCACGCCCACAACTAAGTGATCATAACCTAGAACAGTGCACCGCATGGAGTTAGCGACAACAGCCATCTGCATTATAAATTCAGACCCAGAGGGCGCAGCGTTAGCACCAAAAATCGGGACGAAATTTATTTGGAGGGACACTGGGACAGATCGATGAAAACCTTTGAAAAGCGGAACTGTCCCGGTAAAAGCGGGACGTCTTGGACCCCTCTGCAGGCGTCACAGGTTAGCCATCCCCGGTCTACTGCAACTCTCCATGATGTTGCCACCGTGACCACGCGTTCCTGGAGTTCCCCAAGGGCAGTTGTCCGCCACACGTCATCGCGTCTGATACGTGTCTTCCCTGACCTTCCTTCGCCGTTGCACAAAAGAGAACCGCCTCCCACTGAAATTACGCGTTCCCAGCTAAAGCTCGTGTGGGTGTGGCAAAGGTGCTTGTGACGAGCGGAGTTCCCCAAGGTTTACATGACGATTAGCACGTTCCTCGAGTATTTTCTCTGACATCTCAGCGCAGTTTCCTTCTCGTATTTCCGCGGTTTCCATTCAGGAAGATAAGAGCGAAGATGCAATGAACCTCTAGGTCTTTGTAGACATCGTCGGCGTACAAAACAAATGACACACTAGTGCGTCTCAATCTTTGAAGTCAATATTGAGTTGAATAGTTATCATTTTCTTTTTTTCATATTCATTTCAGTACACTGTCTTTCTCTAACAGGTTCAACGTTGCAATTTTAAATCCAAAACTGAAATTCGTGTCTTTTTATATGACGATTTTATACGTCAGAACGGTTCTAAGACGATTGTGAAACGTTTTTTATGATAATTTAAATGTCAAACAATTGAAATACAAACGTACTTTGTAATTCTAACTTTATTGTAACTTTTTGTAACTTTATTTTGCTCACATAACAATATTTATAACATAGTATTTTTTAAACTGTTTGCTATCGAAAAATATATTTGTGCCTACATGTTCTTTAATACTGCCATATTTGGAAAGTGTCTGTTGAATTTAATGAGCTTCAGTTGAGTTAAATATTCATATCGGACGTAGAATGTTTGCAAAATGTTCATAGAGTAATGTGTAGCATTTGATGGTATATGTGGCGGAGGAATATTCTACATAAAATCAAAGGACACGCAGGTTACGATTTTCTATTTTGCTTTTATTTTGCAACCCTTTTTTGAGAAATGCATCTGTTTACCGAAGATATGGTTTTTAAATTTTGTGAACAAACGAGATTATTCAGAAGAGGATTGTAACATTCGAACAGATTGTATTGCCACTTCTTTCCCATCTGTCCTCCTTGTGGAGGACTTCTCCGCCATAATATCCTCCATAATTTTAGTATATATCTTCTAATAAACTTTCCATTATTTCAAGCTATGAACAGCAATATCTGTTGGAGTCACATCATTTTATACTGACTTACCACCTTTAATCCAATCTTGAGTACCCCTTCTCTTTGCTTCCGATTCAATTTAGAATGTTTCTCCTCTTATGTCTATATACAAAAAAATATTTTTCGGTTATTGTTTTTTTTTGTTTTTTGTTTGCATTTATCAGGTGTTTCCATTTCCCTTCGAATACCTGACTGTATGTTTGTACTCCTCCATGAAAGATTTGTAGAATGCTCGTCGAAACACATGTGGAAAATTCCATTTAAAAATCCAAAGTTGTGTTCATGTCTTCAAAATTACAAACGTTACAAACAAGGAACCAATATATATTTGTCTCGTCATCTACAATTTGGTTCGAATTGCAATCCAAACCAGTTTTTTATGGTATTTGATGAGGCCGACTTACGAAATCCATTCTATATTAGTGATTTAATATTCTGGTAGTGCACCAAGAAATGAAAATGTTCAATTTAATACTAGCGGATACGTGGACAAAAAGA